GTCTCCAGTGCCTTAGCTTTCTCCAGGACAACATGACGGGTTTACTCTCCTGGTTAATAAAACAGCATTTTGCTAGATATCAACAGCAGACCCTCAGCAGTGCGCTATCACATAGGGTAGTGATTCACAGAGACTGACGGAACTCGCTCATTCACAGCCTCCTATGGTAAATCCTGCAGCTACCACCAGCTGCCACAAGATGGCAGAAATGGGATTAAAACAAGTTCAAGAAAGAGAACTACATTCCAACTGTGTACTGTATAAAGGTAAAAAAGTAAAGCTTTGATTAATTTAACAGATGAATTTGTTCAATTAAATTAAGAGTGAGCTGTACTGGCAGACTGTAACTGTTCATGTTTTCATCTTACATCATTTTATAATTTCATAATTTCTATGCTTAATACTCAAATCCACGTCCATACTAAACACGACACTGAAATAGATGTCACTGCACTCTCTAATTGCATCTCTTGTGTAAAAACTTGGATGACTCAAACTTTGCTTAAATTGCGACAAGACTTGGCACTTGGAAGCTCATGCTGCTTGGCACCTCCTATCACCTATGTGAAGCCAGTGCAGTAACCAGGTGATGGGGGCTCCCTCCACCATCACCAGTGTGCAGCCCCACCTGGATGATGTGACGGCACCCATAGTGCTCCAGTACGCTCCCCACACATCAGCTCTCGGTGGGGAGGAGAGCAGAGTGATGAAGCCAGTTCACAGATGGGCATTATTAGGAGGCCATGACTGGTAAAGGACACTGGGATTTTTAATAACCACAGAGAGTCAGGACCTCGGACAGAAGGATGCTGCCTTTTTACAGTATAGTGTCCCCGTCACTATACTGGGATGTTAGAACCCACACAGACTGCAGGGTGAGCTCCCCCTACTTGCTCCACTAACACCTCTTCCAGCAGCAACCTTCGCTTTTCCCAGGAGGTCTCCCATCCAGGTACTGACCAGGCTCACACCCGCTTAGTCTCAGGGGGTTGCCAGTTGTGAGCTGCAGGGTGATATGGCTGCTGGCCATGTCTGTCTGTGGCATGTCCATGGCCATGACATGTCTGTGTAGTTGTGTGTGTGTCTGTCCCAGTGTCTGACCTGGTGTGTGTGTCTGTGTGTGTGCTGGTACTGTATGTATCTATGTGTGCCCTGTGATGGACTGGTATCCTATCCAGGGTATAGCTGTGACCTGTGCCCTATAAATCTGAGACAGGCTCCAGGATACCACGACCCTGACCAGGGATTGGTGTGTCTGGCCCTGTGGTTTCCCATGCAGAGGTGTGCCAGGGTGTGCCTACCTTCATCCCGGGAGCGAGGCCTACTGCAGGAGGAGCCCAGAGCCTTACTCCCAATCCGGATGAAGAACTGGAGCAGCCTGGAGAGAGAGGGAGAGAGAGCAGAGAGATGCCGTTGAAGATGACAGCGCCCAAGTCAGAGGACTAACAATCAGTGTTCGTGGGGGAAGACTGACCTGGTGTGCGTGGTATCCAGGGGGACAGTCCTGGCCTCCCTCCTTCCTGGGCCATTGAAATATAGCGCCTTTCCCTCGCTGATGGTCCCACAGCCCATGCCGACCTGCCCCCCGGTCTGGCCCTGCCACAGTGGGCTGAGTTTGCCTTCGAACCCCTCCCACATCTCAGTTGGGCTGGGCTGTGTGGGTACACATGTTCCCTCTTCCACTGCAGGGCACACACAAGCAGACACACAGCAGAGCGTTACTCCTGCGCAGGCCGGTCCTGGCAAGGCACACACACACACCAGAGAGCGTTACTCCTGCACAAGATAGTCCCAGCAAGGCACACACAGACAGACACACCAGAGAGCGTTACTCCTGCACAGGCCAG